GCAGCCTTCAGGACTCTCCAGGGGTTCGCAGGAAGCCCTGTGGACCAGATGACAGTGCTGGGGGCTGGATCTGACCAGCAGGCCAGGCGTCGATCCCCCTTGCTCTACATACATCTTGTTCATATGCTCTCCCTCTAAAGCATCCTGCCAACCTATATGCTGAACCTCTAAAACTCCTGCCACTGTCACTGGTCTGACCCAGTGTGGCATTACTTATGTTCTTAGCTGTCTTTACTGAATCTTTGCTACAACTGTCTTGAAGAAAAAAAAGTCCTGTACTTAATAATAATCAAAGTTCCATATAAAGGACAACTAAGGAAGTGAGTACACTTCTGACTTGGTGGCCAACCCATCATTTGTTCTCAGATGAAAGACAAGAATTCAGCAAAAAAAGGCAGTTTCAAACCATTGCTATTTTTAATAGTAAAATGTGAGCAAAGCTAAAACAAGGAGCCAATCTCTGATTTAGCCCACTGACCAAAACACCCTGAGTATAAAAAGCAGCAACCCGTTCAATAACACTTTGAGTCCAATTCTGATTGGCATGAAGAAAGCTTCATCCCGCTGCCAGTAAGTGAACTGCACACTATAGTTACTCAAATATAAGACAAGGTCCCGTTCCCTCCCACCCCCAGTGTGCATGGGGAAAGAAGCCCCTCATCTTACATTTGCACACGAAGCAGAAGGCTGCTGCAGGTCTGATTGGCCCTGAGCCCAGGTCGGGGCCAGACCCAAAGCAGCCTCCTGCCTACAACCCCCCCACTCCACTTACCCTTTGTAGCTTCTGCCCCGCTCCCCAACCTGCCCACCCTTTCCCTCCACCTTACTGTCAGGTACAGCTTGGCTCTGGCTAGGGTCTCTTCTGAGCATGAAGCACATGCCAACTCCTTCTCCACAATGAGCAGCCTTAACTGATGCATAGCCAATCAAGGGCTAGGCTTCCATGTGCTGTGCTCTCAGTTGGAGCAGCCTGAGCAGCAACCAACAATGGGGGGGGGGGGCGGAAAATGACGGGAAAAAAAAAGAGGCAGACACTGGGGGTGGGGAGGAAGAGACAAACATTGGGAAGGGCAGAGGCTGGAGGAGGAAGAAGTGGGCAGGGCAGAGGGACCACCAGATCTTCCCCCCACTCCCCGTTTCACCACTGCTTTCCCTGCAATTCAAGACAATCCTCCAATACTCAGATCCTATACCTGGAAAATTATAACAAGTTTATAATTTTTTCATATATAGGATCTAATTATTCAGGGGGTCATCTTATATTCAAGTAAATATGGTATTTCTATTCCTGGATTAACAGAAAATGGAATCTACTCTTACTAGCCACTTGGTATTATTGTAGACATTTTTAAACAGAGATCAGGAATCAACATTAAAAGATTTCTTCTAAATATAAAGACTTTTGTATTCATTTTTAAGAATGTGCAAATTAATTTTTTTCACCAGAAAACATATTAGTAAATATGAAAGTTTGCAGTGTTCCGTTAGTGATTTTATGACAGATATACATACATTCCACTAATTAGCACTTACTAAATGACCTTCTTTAATTAAATACTTCTGCCTTGAAATATACAAAACCATTACAGAGAGAGTGACTTAGCAACCAATTGTGTGTGGGAGGAAGAAAAATGTACATACCCATATAAGCTGCCCAATGTATAGCCCGTCTGTCTTTCTTGTCAAATGCATTAATATTGGCACCTCTAGACAACAACAAACTGACCATCTAAGATAAGAAAGAAAAATAGGGCTATACTATGGTTTATAATGAACAATTGCTTAGAATGATATATAATAAAAATCTAAGAAACAAATACATTGTGTGTGAAATAAAATAACCTTTTAACTGTCTGTAAACTATCATTATTTTTACATTGCTTCTTAATATTCTGTGCTCTAAAATAAGCTGTTTTTACTGATGGCAACATTATCCGATTACGTGACTTCAGTATTACAAAATATTTCAGAGCAACTTGTTACAGATACTGTAACTGCTATGTACATACCACTTAGTAAAACTAAAGTATACTAGGAAAAACACTATAAAGTTATCACGCTGCAGATTTATATATTAAATTTCTACAAACAGTTAAAATGATGCAGCCATACTGTAATTGTAATAATTAAGAATTAGCTATTTTAGTTTATAGGTTGTCACAGAATTGAGTATTTAAAAAAAAAGTTGTTGACTGCTCCTGCCAGAAAGAAAAATAATCCATAATTGGGCTCCTAAATGCTAGTTAGTCATATCTTACTATGGGAACATAATTTTTAAAATGCAAACATCCTCACAACAAAGCTGTGTGGCACAAAACCACTACCAGATTGCATATGCAATATGAAAACACAAGCAAGCAGAAAATAAGAATTCAACCAGGAAACTAAAAAAAACAAGAAGTTTGGAGAGTGAAAGGGATGAGAGGGCTAGGAAACAAAATACAGAAAATAATCCATACCTCAACATGTCCACTGAAGGCTGCATGGTGTAATGCTGTTCTTCCTGCTCGATCTGATACATTTACATTACTTAGAAGAGGCACCAAAGCTTCAGCACACTTAACAGCTTTATTTGCAGCCGCTATATGTAGAGGTGTCTGCCAGTTTTTGTCACGGGCATTGACATCTGCTGAATGCTTTAACAACACCTGAACAGCATCCTGAAAAATATATGCAAAATTAACAGTATGTATGTTACCCATGAACTAAAAGATAACATTAAATCCATACACAGTACAAGAGAATTGCACATTCACACGCATTTTCAGGCCTGCAGTTTACCAAATCCAGCAAGATTCTGGGATGGTTGCAGGGATTTTAGCAATATCATATTTGGTGCAAACCAATGGTGAAACACTTCACTTCCAGTCCTTGTTTCATGAACTTGATAACTCCCTCAAACATAGCCAGGACACTTAACATTTGCAGCATTGTAGCAACTAAATTGCAAAGGCTTCCATTACTATGGATTAGTACAGTACTCTGCTTTTTTTTCCAAAATGCTTTAGAAAAAAATGCAACATACAAGCTTTATTTCGTCTTAACTTGAATTAAAAAAAAAACTTAAAAACGGATATAAACTTGAACTTTATGTAACATTTTATTAGAAAAATGCTAATAAACATATCAAAAATTCAGTTCTAGAGCTCAACATCTGTGAAATCATTACTACAACTAGGAAGTAAATTCTAGGACTGTGGTATACATCTTAGATACAAAACATCAAAAGAAACACTGTCTTAGCAGGAAGCTAGTCACCTGTAACAATGGATTTTCAAGTAAAACAAAACAAATCTGCTTTATATTTTTGCAATACACCCCTGTACACAAGTAAGGACTGTGAATTTCGATTTTGACATTAAAAAGTCTTCACAAAACTATTTATAGGAAAACATATATGAAAACAAAGAGCCCGCTTATATTTAAAATGTTTCAAGTGACTAGCTGTCCTTGTTAACGGTGCTTGCTTTCCAGTTGGAGGTTAGGCCTAGAAGCATCATAATAAAACCAAGAATAAATTAAAAGGTTTCTTTTACTACCAAACACAACAGCTTAAATACTATTTCTCTTCCTCAGGAACATGTCAGGCCAGCTAGTGATTACATCTTCCCCTCGTCTCTTTCTCTATCTACATGTATGGTATCACCATGTATATAAATGCTTCCTAAATATTTACAGTTAGTGGGGGGAAAAGAAAAGTTACAAACTTTTCCTATCCCAGTTCCAAATAAAATTTAATAGTTTTGTTTACTTGCATGTTGAAAAAAACCTAAATTGAACAAATTGGTTTTGCACTTAAAACAATTTGTTCCATCAGCATTTTTCTCTTGTAGAAGTCATTTACATTATCTAGGTTCAATGAAATAACCATTTCATAGGGATGTGCAGGGACTGATGCTTTTGTGAGCTACCTAGGAGAGGAACTAACAGTACTATGAAGGATAATGCATTCTGGGCAATGAACTGCTGATCTCAAGCTCCCTGTAGACAACATAACTTCAAATCGATACCTACATAGGTTAGTGACTACATGTAGTAATTTGCTCCTGTAAATATAAAAGGAAAGTCTAAAAAATATGTATGATTTAGGTTATGTGTTTAAGCTCCCTTAAACAAAAACAACCCTAAACACTGAAGTTTTTCCTGAAGTTTTTTTGAAACAATACTACTAATCTGATTCAGGGGATAAACAGATGGAACAGGAGGATCAGCTGTGCTACAATCTGCTTTCCTGGCACCTACAGGTGTCAGCCAGGGCTGTTGTCCCAAAAGGTTGGACCCCTCCTGCAGCTCAGGGCCTAATCCTGCAGAACAGCCTCAGATGCCACACTCCAAGGGTGTTCCTCCACTTGCAGCATACACCCCAACTTGAGGCACAGCAGCACAATATGCATGCCACAAAAATCCTCTGCAGAATCAGGACCCTAAAACCCAATGAGAACCTGCCCTGGGGTGGCTGGAGAGCATACACACCCCTGGGCCATCTGCACACCCATGCCATAAGCAAAGAGATATCCATTGTGAAAATGTGGCACAAACTCCCCCCCTCAGTGTCTCCCTCTTTTTCCCCCTCATTTTCCTCTCCCCCCCACCCCCCCCTTGTTGGTTGCTGCAGAGGGGCAGGTGGAGCAAGCGCTGTTGGCATCCTCCAGAGAGCAGAGGGCTAGGAGCAGGGAGCAGTGGCACTTGCCCTGACCCCCTTCTCCATCCACTCCATCTTCTCTCCCTGCAGGGAGC